CTGGCGAACCCCGGGGCGCTGCAGCAAAGCGCACTCACTTAACCACTTGTGCCACCAGGCTGGCCCCATAGGTGGGGTCTTTGTGCTTGGAAGGGGACCAGCTGAGCTGCTGTGTGCTAGGTGGGAGAAGCACCTTCATGGTGGATGAGCTGCCACTCTGTGGATCCCTTGGGCTGCTGTGCTCTGCAGGCACAGGCACCTTCTGAGTGGGCAGGGTGCCTTCTCACCTGTGCTGCGCTAGAGGGGAGGGGCACCCACATGGTGGCTGAGCCGCTGCCACTCTGTGTAGAGTGTTTCCATCGGTGGGGCTGTCATGCCACATTGGGCTCTCCAGCAAGCCGGGCTGCAACTCTGAAAGGATTCACACAGGCCAGGCTGTCCCCACCTCCTCTTACAGTCATGGCATGGCTGCTATGTGAGGATCTGTGAACTTGCTTGCTGCCACCAGTGGGGTGAGGGGTGTGCATACTTAGTTCCACTGCCTCCTGTGGATCCAGTCCACCCACCTTCAGATGTATAGCTGCATGGATCTCTCAGAAGTCCTGTTTCGCTGTGCAGGGAATCCTCTGCTGGTTAATGAATGCCCATTTAGTTGTAACTTAAAAAAGAGAGACTGAGGGAACAACTCACTCCATCATGATGCTGACTTCACCTAAGTAGAATTTTTAATAAACGTTTATCTCTGGCACTGAAAAACAAGAAGAATCTATGTTTACAAAGAAAAAATCACATTTTTACTATATTAGCACTTGGTGGCACAGCAGTTAGGTGCTCACACTCCACTGTGGCAGTGCAGGGTTTGCATTCCATGCATGTACCAACACACCACTTGTCAAGCCATGCTGTGGTGGCGTCCCATGTAAAGTAGAGGAAGATGGGCACGGATGTTAGCTCAGGGCCAGTCTTCCTCAGCAAAAAGAGGAGGACTGGCATTGGATGTTAGCTCAGGGCTGATCTTTATCACAAAAAAAAGAAAAAGAACAGCAAGAAAAATACAAAAAAATATGAAGTGCATAGGAAGATATCTGACAATAAAGGTGCCAGACCTCCATAGAAAAATATATAAAATTTTACTGAAAGACATTAAAGAACACCTACATAAATGCAGATACTAAGTTCATGGCCTGAAAGATTCAATAACATAAAGATGTTGATTCTACTAGTACTGATTCAATGCGATTCCAGACATGAGACCAATATGATTTTTGGGGAACTTTTTGCAAGCTTGTTGTTAAATTTATATGGAGAAATAAAAGGCCCAGAAGAAACAAACCACTCTTGAAGAAGAACAAGTCATAGAGACCTGCCTCTCAGATACAAAATTATTAAAGATTGTGCTATATTAATCCAGGATTAACAAACTGATTAGAAGAACAGAATGGAAGGCCCAGAAACATAAAACCATGCACACAGGAACAACTTATGGGAGACATTCTGATTAGAGTTCTAGGAAAATTGGTTATCTACCAAGGAAGAAATTAAATTGGACCCCTCTTGACACTACATATAAAAATCAATAATGGATAGAAAACTATTTTAGAATATTTTAGAAACATTTTAGAAGACAAGAGAGTAGAACATATTGTGGAAATTAATAAAAGAAACCTTAACTAAATTGGAGTTAGGAAGGCCTGTGGGGGGGTTCTCATGCCTTATCATTCGTCATGCTTGCATCTCTGACAGGAAGCACAACTACTTTACACTGAAGGAAGATTTCTCTCCCCACTCAGCAACAGACTAGCCAATGAGAAACACTGCAGCTCAGCCAATGAGACGCCATTGCTGCCCTGAACTGCTACTTCCCCCCAGTGGACTTTCCTATAGAACAGCGCCTCCCTTCTCCTCCTTTTCTCTATAAAGGCAGCTCCCCTCCTTTGTTTTCCAGATGTGCCTATGGTTTGCCATAACATGCACTTCGCAAATTGCAATTCTTTGGGATATTTCCAAACAAATTCATTATAAGGATAAAATAACAGGCAAATTTGCTTTTTAAGTTGACAATATTTATGACTGCATGTTATTGTCCCAATACAATCAGCCAAAGACCACCAAGGACAAAACCTAAAGTCTGACAAAGTCAGGTTTACCAGCTCATTGCATTGAGGGAGATCACACACCTGAGGAACTAGGGGGTGTTCCATCAAACAAAGGAAGATATATGAATATTATAGGATCTGGAGAAAGAAGAGAGTTTAGGTGAAATTTAAATGGAGTACAGTCATGTTCATCACCAACTAGGTGCCCCGAGAAACTCAAGGGTGGGTTTGGAAGCATTTAACTGTTTTTCCAAGTTGTCTTTTTCCCCTTTTGTTAAGGAGATGCAACCACCAACCACCCTGAAACTGACCAAGCCTCACCACAAGAGCTACGCCCATGACCTCTGCCTTATTTTTAATGCTAAGATCTCTCCAGGAGGAGCTTAGGCCTCATTACTGTAACCTGTAGTGTCTGTGGAAGCATGTTTTGCAACTGAGCCTGTGCAAGTGAATACCCGCCTCTCCCTTTGGAATATTCATTCCCCATCCAAAGTAAAGGTCCTTGCTTCCCTTTCTTCAGGGATGCCATGACTTAGGAAATGATTCCCCATGGTCTTCTATTTGCTGAAAATACACTTTACTTTGTGAGACAACTTCCACTGATGTAGAGTCTTATTTAACTCACCAGGAGTTGAGCCCACTTGGTTCGGTAACAACGTGTACTTAACGACTGGGATATATTCTGAGAAGTGTGTTGTTAGGCAAGTTCATCATTGTGCAAACACCACAGAGTGTACTTACACAAACCTAGATGGTATAGCCAACTACACACCTAGGCTATATGGTACTAATCTTAGAAACATTGTTATGTGATACATGACTGTAGTATTTTGATAGGCTCAAAGTAAAGTGATGCTGTGAATTAAAATAACTCTAATAGCTATCAGACAATATTTAAAACTAAATCAAAAATTTTAAAACCTTAGATCAAAACCCATGTAACATACCTAAGGGGTACTTGGAGGAATATCTATGGCCTTAAATGCTTATATTCAAAAACACAGATTGAAAATTAATGAGTTAGATTTCCAATTTAAGCATAAGACAGCAATAGAAGCAATCCCACATTTATAATATTTATAAGGCTTCTCTCTCACTCTGAATTTCTTTGTGCAGAAGTCAAGTCCCAGTGGAAGGCTTCCCTATACTGAAGATATCCACGGAGTTGCTCACACATGAGATCAATGGGGCTATCCCACATGCTTCCATTCCTGGGCTTCCCTTCACTATGAGTTCTCACATGTTTCCTGTGGGATGAGTGACTACTGGAAACTCTCCCACAGTCATTGCACTGGCACATCTTCTCCCTTGTGTGTGCCCCTTTGTGGGCAGTCAGGCTACAGCTCCTATCGAAGGCTTTTCCAGTCACTGCATTCATAGAGCTTCTTCCCAGTATGGGTTCTCAGGTGCACCATCAGATGGAAGTTCCTGCTAGAGGTTTTGCCACAGTCATCACAGAGATAGAGTCTCTCCTTGGTGTGCATTCTCTTATGCACAGTCAGGTTGCTGCTCCTGATGAAGGCCTTTCCACAGTCATTGCATTCATATGGTTTCTTCCAAGCGTGTATCCTCCTGTATACAGCGAGGCTCAAGCTGGATCTGAAGAATTTCCCACACTGGTTACACTCATGGTTTCCCTCCAGTGTGAGCTGACACGTGTATCCTAAGGGATAAGTAGCAACTGACAGCTTTCCTGCACTGAAAACATTTATAGGGTTTCTCACCAGCATAAGATCACACGTGGGTCGTAAGGGATGAAGGATAACTAAAGCTTTCTCACGTTCTTTACATTCATTTCATTTCTGTCCTGTGTAATTTCTCTTGGGCAAAATAATGTTAGAATTCCTTTTGGTGGCTTTTCCACATAGACTATATTCATGGGGTTTCTCTCTGGATTGAGTTGCTGCCTGTTGATTAAAGGATAAGTGGTAACTAAAGGCTTTCTCACTTTCACTGCACTCATGGGGATACTCCCCCATAGAAAGTCTGCACTGTAAAAAAAAGAAAAAAGCAAATTCCTACACTAGAAGTTGCTACCATTTTCAGATCATGAGTACTGTTTATTCCGTTTGAGTTCTTTCAGACTGAGTAAGGTGAATGCTCTCTGCCCCAAGGTTGCATCATAGTCATGACATTCGTAAGGCTTCTTATGTACAGATTTTTTTTCCGATAATTGTTTAAATAAAAACTGAATTATGTGTCAATAATCACTAGCTGAGTCATATTTATGAATATGCTTACTTGTGGGAATTCTCTGAATAAATAAATTTTGAAATTGGTTTAGAATGTTCCCCAAATTCATGATACTCAGATACTATCTCCTGAGACATGACTTCTTTTGGGTGAAGGCCACTGGCTCTAAGTGTCTGCCCTCGTGGTTGTGGTGTTTTTTTCTATCTCGTGGCAATCCCAGACTTCTACTGCAGAGAACAAGCAATGAGCCCTCATGAGCCTTACCCTTTTCCTATCAGTAGATGGTTTTTCCCGAACTTTATTCCGCTTTGCAGTGGTCCCTTTGCTTTTAAGTCAAGACTTCTGGTCTGAAATCTATGGGGGTGGGGGAGAAAACAAATATTAAGTTCTTAGAGAAATAAAGGATGAGACAAACGTGACTCTAAAAAATATCCAGACCCTTGTAGATTTTTTCATATACTAACCTAAAATATTAGAAGTCAATGTGACACGGGGCTGGCCCAGTGGCGTAGCAGTTAAGTGAGCATGCACTCTGCTGCGGCAGCCTGGGGTTCAGATCCTGGGTACGCACCGACGCACCACTTGTCAAGCCATGCTGTGGCGGTGTCCCATATAAAGTGGAGGAATACGGGCATGGATGTTAGCCCAGGGCCAGTCTTCCTCAGCAAAAGGAGGAGGATTGGCGACAGATGTTAGCTCAGAGCTAATCTTCCTAAGAAAAAAAAAAAAGAAGTCAATGTGACAGGGAAGAACACACCAGCAGTTAAAGACAGACTTCAAGGATTTCAGCAATGTGAAGAATTTGACAGGACAATGACAGGAACGGGGGTTGCAAATGACAGGTGACTTGCTAAGAAATGATTTTGTCAAAAATGAGATGGCTGTAGGGCCGGCCTCATGGCTTAGCAGTTAAGAGCATGCGCTCCGCTGCTGGCGGCCCAGGTTCAGATCCCGGGCGCGCACCAAAGCACTGCTTCTCCGGCCATGCTGAGGCCGTGTCCCACATACAGCAACTAGAAGGACGTGCAAGTATGACACACAACTATCTACTGGAGCTTTGGGGGAAAAATAAATAAATAAATATAATTATTAAAAAAAAATGAGATGGCTGTCAATAGTCTGATAGTGGGCACTATCAAGCAAGCAAAGTTTGGGGACAGTAGGAAAATGGACAAACAAATAGCAAGGCTATGTTCCAATAAAACTTTATTTACAAAAGTGGAAATGTTCTGGAAAGAGGAAGTAGGAGAGAGTTTTCTCTGGAAGCAAAAGAAAGTGGGAGAGAAAAGAGAGAAGGAAAGGAAGGGAAGATGAAGCTTCGAAAGGAAACTCACCCCAAGTGGCCTGAGATGATTTCTCAGACAAAATGACATTTTAGAAATTCCCTAAAGGGCCTCCTTTCACCCAGGGCTCACCTGCACAGGTGTCTTGGAGAATTCTCCTCTCCTCGGTCCTCAGCTCCTCCTGCTCCAACTGGGTGAGCAGGTTGGGCTTACGGAGGTGATACCCTGAACACAGGGAGACACACAAGGTGGCAGGATGTGCAGGAACAGAAAGGGAACTTCCTGTCAGAGTGGGGCCGACACTTTCAGAAGATGGGCATGTGTGACCCCACCAGCAGTGATGGGATGGTACCTAGAACCCAAAACTCAAACTACCTCACAGCATGCCCTGCGGGGACTGGGAATCCTCAGACCCAAGCTCAGAGACACACTTCAGGAACACCAAAGCTTCTACTCATGAAGAAAATAAAGTCAGCGTAATGGATCAATCTTCATTCTCAAGGGGCAGATGCTAGACTAGGGGCTGGTAACTACAGCCCAGGCGTTAGCCACTTGCTCTTGTAAATAAAGTTTTATTGGAACATGGCCCTGCCTATTCATTTACACACCCTCCATGGCTGCTTTGGCACTACACTGGAAGCACTGAGTAGTTGCAACGGAGACCCTATGGCCCGCTAAGTCAAAAATATTTCCGGGCCGGCCCCATGGCTTAGCGGTTAAGTGCGCGCGCTCTGCTACTGGTGGCCCGGGTTCGGATCCCGGGTGCGCACCGATGCACCGCTTCTCCGGCCATGCTGAGGCCACGTCCCACATGCAGCAACTAGAAGGATGTGCAGCTATGACATACAACTATCTACTGGGGCTTTGGGGGAAAAAAAAAAAGGATGAGGATTGGCAATAGATGTTAGCTCAGGGCCGGTCTTCCTCAGCAAAAAGAGAAGGATTACCATGGATATTAGCTCAGGGCTGATCTTCCTCACAAAGAAAAAAAAAATATTGCCTCTCTGGACCTTTAAGGAAACGTGTGCCCACCGCTGCTCTACATTTTCACTTCTTAAAAGGAGATGTGGACCACATCTCCTTCATCACTCTTCCCAAGACCAAGAACAGTTCCTGGAATATAACAGGTACTTAAGAAATATTTGCAGCAAAAATCTACCAAAGAGATGAGGCTGGTCTTACCGACTGAGGTTCTCCAGCATCTCGTCTCTGTACAAGATTTTCTGAGCAGGGGCCAGCAGTGCCCACTCCTCCTGAGAGAAGTCCACTGCCACTTCCTCAAAGGTAACTGAGTCCTAAAACATCACACACATTAGGGCTTAGCCAAGGCCCATCTCCATCACCGGCCCAGTAGGATAGGGCGTGGGGCTAAAGGCACCAGAGGATCAAGGAGTGGGAAGTTCAGACAGGGGACCCTGGCCTCAGCTCTCTCCACTTGCACACTCTCAGCAATCTCATCCGGCTTCATCAATTCATTAGCTCAACACATGGTTGAACTTTTCTCTCTACAACTAGTCTATGAACACATTCAGCCTGGGTCCCCTCAGTCAGGCATCACACAGCTCTGAGTTCATGGCAGCCTGGGAGGAATATTTAGTGAATGAGTGATGTCCTCAGGAATTCCTGAGACAAAGTCATCTCATTGCCTTTCTTGGTTTTCTATCACAGCTCTGAAGTGACTACTGAGCTAATAAGGACAAAGTACTGAAAAAAAATCATAAATACTGAGGCAATGAGAGCATTCTCTGGGAAGTCCCTTGGCCACCACCAGAGGCTAAGAGTCCTGAGGAAGCATGGAGACAAGTCCTGGTGGGGTTTGAGGCTCCAGGCCACTGGAAGGAGACACATCCACCCACAGGGAAGGGAGACGCCATGTTGGAAAGAGATTTCTGATTACCTGTGACCAGGTCCTCAGCAACCCTGGAGCCATCGCTTCCTCCTCCACATTCCCCTCCAGGAGACAGGTGGGGTCATGAGCAGGCACAGCTAAAGGACAGGAGAGGGGCCGTGAGAGACAGGCCAGGTCCTAGATTCCAGCCCACACAAGTCTGGAGGCTGCCTCACACAACTGGTATCCCACACACAAGCAAAACACAAGTCCACATGCATGCAGGTTTCCTAAAAGGCCAGGGCAGTCCTGTCTCTCCCACGAGAAGAGAGGCCTGTGGGCCTTGCTGCCCATGAGGAAGCCTAGTCAACTCCTGTGACTGTTGAGAGTACTCAAGTTCACAGAGGTTTAGCAAGTCAATTGCCAAGAGTATAGAACAAATACAATGCATAATGCAATATTATCCCCCAAGCATCTCAAACTCTAAAAGGCACCAACCCTAATGCAAGCAGGCTTGGAGTCTCTTGGGGTTCCACTCCCACCTTGTCCCAGCCTTTGGAAGCCCTCAAGGAAGAGGGTCTCAGGGAAATGAAAATGGCCAGGGTGCGATCTAGCTCCAGGAAGGTGCATGAGGGACAAGGAAGCCCATGTGGTGTGGCTGGAGCTTGGCGACTGGGGTGTCTGGAAAGGAAAGTGGCGAGAGACGGTGGCAGAGGGACCAGGAACTGGGTCAAGACCAGGGCAAACCAGCCTGGATCCTATCTGGATTTACACCTTGTGACTGGCAGCTTAGTGGGATAGCTTTACAAGAAGAGTTTTCTGTTCTTCTTTATATTTTTTAAGATCATACTGGCTGCTGTTCACAGGACAGCACTGGGGAAGGCAAGAATGTCAGGGTAAGAGAAAACCTCCTTTCTTCCCTTCTTGTGTTCTTATGGCTGGACTAACAGTAAAACTGACACAAGACCACACTAACAGGAGAAAAATCTAGTTTAATACGTACACATTGGAGATTGTAAAGAAATGATACTTGGAGAGTGAACAAAGCAGGCAGTATATCTATCTTTTACACACAAAAAAAACAATAAATTTGTGAGGAATGATAGGACAAAGAAACTTAGGTTTGGGGTACGTAATTAGTGAAGAATTTAAGCAGAGTTAGGCTTGAAGTAGTGAATTAGCAAGGTTTGTTTATGCAGGCTTCTCAGCCCTGAATCCTCTAGCTCTGGTGATAAGGATGCAGGGAGAGCACCTTTCACAGGGGAGATTTATTTCCTGCTTTCAGGGGACTAGAGACAGCAAGGTCAGAACGCCCTTTTCGTTTCTCAAGTAACTTTGATTCAAAATAATCAATATGCTATTGTGGGATATTTTGGGGTGGCCTGCCCTGGACCCCAACAAATAGAAGCAGGGGTCCAGGTGAGAAGGCGGATGGGGAAGCCTTGGGAGATGGGAGGAGCAGCAGAGACTATTGCAAATGGTTAATATTGTTGACACAAAATAACCAATAACCATGCTATAGAAGAGATGAGTTTTTTTTTTTTTTGTGAGGAAGATCAGCCCTGAGCTAACATCCATGCTAATCCTCCTCCTTTTTTTTTTTTCCCCCAAAGCCCCAGTAGATAGTTGTATGTCATAGTTGCAGATCCTTCCAGTTGCTCCATGTGGGACGCGGTCTCAGCATGGCCGGAGAAGTGGTGCATCGGTGCGCGCCCGGGATCCGAACCCAGGCCGCCAGCAGCGGAGCGTGCACACTCAACCGCTAAGCCACGGGGCCGGCCCAATAGCATTTTTAATTTAAAAAATTTTTACAGGATACAAAAATACAGAAAAGACCATTGTAATGTTATATGTGATACATTTATATAAACACTTCAATGCCACTCACATGGTGTCATGTCTATCTTGTCCCCTGAAGTGGGCCCTGTGCCAAGTTCAGAGTAAGCAACTGACATAGGTTTGTCCCTCCAGTGAATAAAGCGGTGCCAGCAAAGGGAATTCCACACGCCCCTGGCTAGGAGTCGGCAGGGCTGTGGGAGGTGTCCTAGCTACAGCAACAAGTAACTGCCTCTGGAGTCTCCTAGCCCAGCCCAGCCCAGCCATCTCCACTCACAGGGAGGGAATGGGCCCCATGCCCCCAATTCATTAGACTCTCACCTGATGGAGACAGTGGAGGGGAACATGTGTGGTATAGGTGGTAATTAATACTCTCTGTTCAAATTCTGTACAATGAACACTCAAAACTTTCCCACACACAGGCAAACACACAAACTCTATCTAGATCTATTATATACAAATAACATACAGAGACATAGGCATAAATATATTTTAAACCATTAGTTGCTCCGTGCAACAATAATAATGATGCAACCCCTGGCTCAAATGTGGCATTAGGAGAAGTAGTTGCTCCCAATATCGGACTTCTGACATTGTGAATGGCAGGAGGAGAATCTGGGGGATCGTGGGACTGGAGGAAGGGGGGGCCGGAGGGATTTCAGAGCAGGTCAGTGCCATGCTTGGCAAGGAGAACAAGGGGATGGGTCTGGGGTCCGCTTTCCCCATAGTGGGAAGACTCGGGGCCCCCATCATAGGGAGAAGGGCGCGGCAGGGGAAAGGGGGTGCCCTCTGCAACCCAGGTTGCTGGGATCAGATTCAGATTCTCTCCCCTGGGACTCGGACCAGCCTCCCCAGGTGAGAGATGGGGCTCGGGCTTCAGGGCTGCAAGGGGCAGGAGGCCCAGCTGCTGGCCCAGCATCCTCATTATGAAAGGTTCAGTAGGGGCTGAAGTCAGACCCACACCATCTGAAGCCTCTGGCATGAACACAGCGTCCCAGGGAAGGTGAGCTGTGGGGGTCCCCTCAGAGACTCTCCCCCAGGGAAACTAGGAGATCCTGTGTCGAGAGAGCAGGTCTGGCTCTTTTCCCTTTAAACTCCCCCTTTCCTCCTCAGTGGGCAAATTGGGGCCAAATCAGGCAGCTGATCCCAACCAGCCAGCTGATCCCAACCAGCCTGACTGCAGCAGCGTCCCCTCCTTAATCTCTGGACTTCCTGGTTGCCTGTTTTCGGGCACCGCATATGCACTCACATGGGGCCAGCTACTCAAGGCGGTGTCCTCTCTGCAGCCAGAGGCAGGTGAATGTAAAAGCGGAGGCGGAGTCAGCAAGGCTGAGCTACCCAATATCATGAGTATTAATTAGCACAGATGTTGCCTGCAGGGGCCCTTTCCAGACCCTCAGGCCCTAAACTATCCCTAATCCCTGGCTCTTGATTCCCAGAGGGAAGAAAGGATTTGGGGGAAGGAGCTGGTATCAAGCAGGGAGGGGAGGGTCTGGTCTCTGGCTCCCAGGCCCTCTCCTGTCTTCCTCACCCGAAGAGACCACCCTAAGCTTTCTGCAGTCACGACAGAACTTCCCTCAGCCCTTCCCAGCGGGAAACGACCCCCAGCCGGCAGCACCTCCCCCTCAGCCTCCACTCCCCTTCCCTCCCTTCCCAGGCGCCCCTGATCCCAACCGCCCCTGATCCCAACCGCCCTGGCTTTCTGCCAGTGTCCTTCCATGCTACACAACTGTCTCTGAGCTGCCCGACCTTCTCCATCCAAAGATTTTCTCCTTTCTCTCCCTGAGGAACCCAATTTGCATCATAGGTAGAGCCCAGTCCCTGGGGAGAGGTGGACAGAAGGCTGGAGCCTAGAGGAAAGAGACAAGGGACTCTGGCAATCCTAGGAGAATCTCACAGGACCAGTCCATTTGGATGGGACCTCCTTTGGTGCACTGGGTTGGGGTGGGGAGGCACCAGCTGGATGCGCAGGAGAGACCTTGGGGTGACTGCAAGATGACTCATAGATCTTCTGATCCTTTGTTTACAAACACACACACTGGAGACAACCCTCATAAATTTCCACGGAGGAATTTTCATGGGGAACGTTTTTCATAGCTCGGCCATCAAATCGCTTTAGAGGTTTTCCATACAGTGCACTTACAACGGTCGTAAATTTTCATCGTCCCCCTCCCTGCCCATTTTGACTTTATCTACATCATTTCATGAATATCAATTCCTTTTCCTGCGAATGCTTCATTCCTCCCACACCATTTGGCCTCATCTCAGTAAATAAATGGCCGATTGGGATGGAAACCTGCCCTTGACACACCCTACTCTCTCATAGATCTAATCCAAGAATTCTTCCAAGGACCCTGAAGGTTAGGATCCCTGAGCACTTCCCCACCCACTCTGTTCCCTCAGCTTCCCGCTCACCCCCTCTTAAGGTCACAGATTCAAATGTCACTCCCTCAGAACTCTCCCCACCCCCTTATAGCCAGTCCCTCCTCTAATAACCCCAACTATTTTTCTCATCTCCCTAGTAATGAGAAGACCTTTGTCATTCTCGTAATTACGAGAACAGTACTGGATATTTTATTTATGTATGTGTTTATTGCTGGGACTCCATACACAACCTTAGCACAGGAATGTATAAGTGCTCTTTATCTTTTAGTAAATAAATGACTGAGTAAATGAAGGAGCAAAACTATGCTCTCAACACCACTCCCTATACCTCTTTCAAATCCTTTTACTTCTTTCCCATTCCACAGCCATTCTATTTTTTTTTTTTTTTTTTCTTTTGGTGAGTAAGATCAGCCCTGAGCTAACATCCATGCCAATCCTTCCTCTTTTTGCTGAGGAATACCGGCTCTGGGCTAACATCTGTGCCTATCTTCCTCCCCTTTATATGGGACACCGCCACAGCATGGCCTGACAGGTGGTGCCTCGCTGGGCGCCAGGGATCCGAACCCGGGCCGCCAGCAGCAGAGCGCACGCACTTAACCGCTACGCCACAGGGCCGGCCCCTCCACGGCGATTCTAAATCTAGGCTACTGTTATGCTGTTCCTAGACTTATTCTCCTGATGCCATGCCTTCTCTATGCTTCCTGAAGTCCATTCTCAATCCAGCAGCCAGAAGAATCTAGCTAAATCACAAATCAAATCACATCACATCCCTGCTTCAAACTCTTCAGTGAATTCCAATTTCCTTAAAGTCCCATCCAGTCCTGCCTCCCTCTTTCGCCACCCTCCCCACAGTCCCGGTCA